ATGTCACCTGTCAAGCCCAGTTACACTCATCTTAAGCTTTAACTTGCAATAGTTAGTTTACTAACAACAAGATTTATATATATTAGATATATTAGATTTTGACAGATGTATTCTTTATGGAACAGATTCATTCTCACTTCTTGTCTGTGACCTGAATTACAATAACATTTTTATGTGATTCCTAACTCTGTCAGTCTTCACTAAAGGGGTGTGCCACCACTTATTGTGTGGCGTTTTACAGTTTGCAAAAACAGTTGCGTAATGTCTGCTGTGCTTCAGAAACGACTTTAAAAGTAAGAGAAAATAACCCCAATTATATTACAGTGATAGCTTGATTTTGGAGAGTACTGTTTTTTAAATTTATTCATTTATAAAATCATAAAGCCTGCATTACAGACTGGACATGTGGCATTTACCAAAGGATGAAACATCAGATATGGTAGGATTGCATAGGAAATGTAGTCCACAATTTTGGGGACTTATGGAGATCTGGGACATCTGGGCTTCTACTGCATTTTGACCATTTCTCTTTCTCACAATTCCCACAACCTCATGATGTGCAATACTAAATCTGTAAAGATTTTAGTATTTTATTATTTATTATTTCATTTTGGATGAAATGCCAACAGATTAATAGGATTCATCATCTGAGGCCATGACTGTCTGTATACAAATGCCATAATAATCTATCCTGAGATATTTTAGTGTTGAGTAGACCAGTGGTTAGCACTGACACCTCAATGGAAGACGGTGCTGGTTCAACTTCACCAGCCTGTGTGGAGTTGCTGTGTTTCCCTAGGTTTCCTCTGGCTGCTCTAGTTTCGCTCCATAGTCAGAACAAAAAAACTCTTAAGTGAAGTTGAACTGAATGTTGTAATGTAAATTGGCACAAGATGTGCCCTGCTTCACAGTGAGCTGCGATTTTTAATTTATGGCATTAGAATAAAAGACACCAGTAACATACATTGTCAGGGAGCAATGAGTTAGAATTTGTTTGTACAAAATTGTGTGCTAATTTATCTTGAGCTATTTCTCTGGATAGGTGAAAATCACGAAGGGATCGCCAGCATCTTCTAGGGATCATGAATATGTGCACCAAATTTGATGCAGTCCTTAATAATAGTTGTTGAGATATTTCAGTCTGGTCCAAAGTCTTGGACTGGCTGACACTGCCATCCCTACAGCCATCTAGAATATTTTCCTTGTTTTCCCCATGATTACTGCCAAATTACATAGTTTTTCAGTGAAACATCTTAGGAAATAAAGATATTGCAGGGTATGTGTTGCTCTGCTCTGACTGGTGACACACTTGTTTGGTTTGGGAAGGTCAGTCATTGTGGAAGTAGAGCAGGGCTGGGCTGCCCCTGTATCTGTAGAAACCCATCAGCTGAATTATTTGATAACTTCATGATTATTGAGGTGAGGCCACAATAAGAGTATATGCTGCATGGATATGTGTGCACACCCACATTTAATCTGTTTTGAATTCCATATATTTATTTACATTCTAGGCACTTACCTGACACCTGTACCCAGTATGAGCATCAACACAAACAACTGTCCACAGAATTAAAATATACAAATAGATACTAAGCAGGATAGAGATAAATGGGATATTGATCATAGTCCTTATCATTTGTCAGTGAGTTTCCATTCTGCGTTGAGGGGACTCCTAGCAAGCTGTAAACTTCCTAATAAAAGCATACTGGACCTTTGGAACTGGGTGGCCTTTAGTATGAGGTGGGGCAACAAGAAAGTGGGTGTTGCAGGAGTATATAACAGGATGTGTGTCCAAGAATAGGTCTGACTAAACACACTGTTTATGATGAGGGAGTGTTAAATGTGCTTGATGTACCTGGATAACAGGAGAACTCATCCGTGGAGTTACACAGTGAATTTACAAGCTGATTGAAAGCTATTAAGTCAATGACTAATAGGACCTTTAGGTTATGAGTTGACGGGATCACAGTATTAATGATTGATGGGCATTATATGGATTCATTTTCAGGAATTTCAAGAGAGGAACAAAGTAAAAGCAGTGACAAAGGCCAAGTCTGTCTCTCCAGAAATGGTAAGGAAATAGACTGACTGATTTATCATTGGATATTAAAGATCCTGCTGTATCACATCATCACAATACAGATTTCATAGTTGACATTTCACAGTTGACCAAAAAGTTGCTCCAATTACAATCGTACTGTAATACTTGTTTCTTGTTGTTTTTCTGTTAGGATGTGGGGATGCTGGAGATCCCTGCTGAGCTGTCAGCCAGGCTCCGCAGTGCAGCAGGTTATTTTCATAAACAGCTTCGACAAGACTTCAATCTGCACATATGCCAATCTGCTGTCAAAGAGTTTCAGCCTTTTTTGATTGCAGTCCTTTTTCTGTCCACCAGGGCGCCAGCATGTATCAGGGGTCACAGAAGTGGCACCTCCACAAGTGAAGGCAGAACACAAGCTCACTCTGCCTCCAGATATAAACAGATATCCATTCTCTCACTATGCCAAGTCCATATTAAAGGTAAGGTTGAAGCACACACGTGCATGTATTCATAATCCAATCCAGGTTTTCTACATTGTACATCCTGCTCCACCTAATCATTCAGATTGCTGCTAAAATGTGCCCATTTTAACAGCCCAATGTGTTATGAAGATATTGTTTATACATAAATACAGTTTTTAGGAAACTGGCTTGTTGGTCCACTGTTGTGCTTGCTGTTTTGTAAAGTCAAGCAAAACTCATGGAATTCTCCAATTGGTGACATCACACAGATGGCTAAATTAGCCACATCGCTAATAGAGATAGTCAGACCTCGAAAAATAACCAAGTCCCGCTATTGTCCAGTTTTTATATATGGTCAATGGCTTCACCAACTACTGAGGGAAATATCTGGGTAATTAGAGGCTAAATCCTCCACTAGTAGTGTTTCTCCATGACAGGGACTCAACCAACCACAACACTAGCCTCCCCTTGCCTGTAATGCCACAGAATTTGATGGAGCTGATGTGGTCAGTTCCACTTCGCTTTTTCACTGTATTTTCCCTGTCATTCTGCTTACACCAGGGCAGGGCTGAGCTCTTCCACATACAGCTGAGCAGAGAATTTTGATTCAACAGCTGCTCTCCATTTGGTCATGCTGGCATGCCACATGTTACATAGCGTGGTTAAACAGAACATGTCCATCCAGCACAAACTGGCACTGTGCTTGTCAGTTTTTGGATCACACCCACTGACTCCAGTGCTCTTTAATCATACTTGCAAAAAATCTGCCAAAAATTGACACTGTATGAGCAGTTTATCAAACAGCTGTTGACAAAGCAGAACACAGAGTAGGAATGTGGTATAGGACAATAATAATATAATAATCTTTATTTGTACCGCACTTTCCAGCTCGAGAGCACAAAGTGCTACAACAATAAAAACATAGAATACAATATCAGTTAAGAACACTCATAAACAGACACAAGCCAAATGGATATCCAAGGACTGATATAGGCCAACTCCTACCCAGCCGGCTCTCCCACCGGGGGCTTACCCGTGGTGGCCCAAGGACTAATACACACATTGACATATTAAAACTAGTTAAAAAATAAATTATTAAAGGAGACGAAAATCAGTGAACAGGCTAAACATTAAAAGCTTGTTTGAAAAGATGCGTTTTTTAACGCTGACTTAAACGCTGCCGGCTCAGTTATCGAGCGTATATCTAAAGGCAGGGAATTCCACAGCCTAGGGCCATGCACGGCAAAGGCGCGACCTCCCCATTTTTTGTAGTGCGCAGGGGGAACAACAAGACCAAGGTGACCCGATGATTGCAAGGTTCTGCGAGGGACATATCTAGCCAGGAGGTCGGACAGGTACAGAGGGGCAAGGCCGTGCATGGCTTTAAAAACATAAAGCAAAACCTTAAAATCTACTCTCCATTTAACAGGCAGCCAGTGAAGAGATAGCAGAACCGGAGTGATATGGGCATGCCAACGAGTGTTTGTCAGCAGACGGGCAGCCGCGTCCTGAACAAGTTGGAGCCTGGGAATGGAGCCTTGCGGGACACCTGAAGTCAGGGAAGCTGTGCCGGAAGAATGGTCACCAATCATAACTGAATAGGTTCTATCGGTAAGATAGGACTCAAACCACCTTAGCACCTCCCCTCCCAGGCCGAAAAGGTGCTGGAGATTTAAAAGTAAAATGGAGTGGTCAACTGTGTCAAAGGCCGCAGTTAGGTCCAGCAAAGCTAAAATAACTGGGCATCCAGCATCCAGGGCTAATGCAACATCGTTATGTACCTTGAGTAAAGGAGACTCCATGCTGTGTCAAGCCCTGAACCCAGATTGAAATTTATCACCCAAATCTAAAGATTTTAAGTGAGTTTGCAACTGAGTGAGGACCAACTTCTCCATAACTTTAGCAAGGAAAGGCAATATGGATATTGGCTAAAAATTTTTTGCGGGACACCTGAAGTCAGGGAAGCTGCGCCAGAAGAATGGTCACCAATCATAACCGAACAGGTTCTGTCAGTGAGATAGGGCTCAAACCACCTTAGCACCTCCACTCCCAGGCTGAAAAGGTGCTGGAGTTTTAAAAGTAAAATGAAGTGGTCCACTGTGTCAAAGGCCGCAGTTAGGTCCAGCAAAGCTAAAATAACTGGGCATCCAGCATCCAGGGCTAATGCAACATCGTTATGTACCTTGAGTAAAGGAGACTCCATGCTGTGTCGAGCCCTGAACCCAGATTGAAATTTGTCACCTAAGTCTAAAGATTTTAAGTGAGTTTGCAGCAGAGTGAGGACCAACTTCTCCATCACTTTAGCAAGGAAAGGCAATAGGGATATTGGCCGAAAATTTCCTAATACCGTAGCGTCAAGGTTGGGCTTTTTAAGTAGTGGTCTAACAAGCGCATGCTTAAGGGTCGGAGGAAGCGAACCAGAACTCAAGCATGAGTTAACAAAGTTGACCAGCCCAGGGCCAATAATATCAATAACTTCTTTAAAAATCTTCCCTGGTAGGGGATCGAGCGGAGAAGCAGCAGGTTTGAACTGAAGCACACATTTTTTAAGTTCTGAGAGGGACACCTGAGCAAACGAGGTGAAGGTATCACCAGGGTAGGACACAGCTGGGGCATAAGGTGGAAGATATAAAGGAGTCACTCTGATGGCCCGGACTTTATGTCTAAGGAGACTTGCAGACCATCCTTCCGCCATTTCCGCTCTGCCTGCCTGCACCGTCTCCGATAGGCCCGCGTGACGTCATTCAGCCAAGGATCAGAGAGGTTCCTAGTTCTTTTCCTCCTCAGCGGAGCAACAGAATCCGTAATCCGGACACAGGTGGCATCAAATGCAGAGAGGAAAGTCACTGGAGGTATCGAGGAATGCTGCGTTTTTATGGAGTGTAGGTCTGCTGCCAAGAAAGCAGAAGCAAAGTCTGCCGATGTAGAAGAGGTAATAATCCTCCGAGTCTGACCAAGGGTCATCTGGGTGGGGGTCGACTTAGGTCCCTGAAGTTCAAAGCGAATAACCCAATGATCGGAGATGGCTAGATTAGCCACATCGGTAATGGAGATAGCCAGACCTCGAAAAATAACCAAGTCCAGCGTACCCCCCCGCTGATGGGTGGGGGAGGAAACAGCTTGAATGAAATCAAAAGACTCCAGGAGAGCATTAAAATCCATAGCTAGTTGATCAGAGGGGTTGTCCACACGAATGTTAAAGTCACCACAGATCAAAAAATAGTCAAATTGTGGGACAAATGTTGCTAAAAAGTCCCCAAAGTCAGTAATAAAATCCTTTGATCGAGGAGGGCGGTATATGACTACACATAAAATGGGGGACTGCTGAAGAAGAGTAAAAGCTTGGAATTCAAAACTGGGATAAGTTTTTCCCTGGAGAAGGCGGCATTTAAGCGTCTGCTTGAATACTGACGCTACGCCGCCCCCTCTCCCAGTAAGGCGAGGGGTATTAAAAAATAAATAGCCCGGAGGCAGCAATTCCGAGAAAATAGAATTATCTCCATACTTCAACCAGGTTTCAGTCATTAAAAATGCATCCAGGTCATGGGTAGTAATAAAATCATCAAGAATAAACGTCTTATTGGTGAGGGACCTGGCATTAAAAAGAGCAAAGCGAAGCAGACTTAACTTGTCCTGTACTGAGTCGGAACGCTTCAAAGTCCGAAGATTGACCAGAGAGTGCCGTCGTTCAGAGCGTCTCATCAGTCGGAAGTGCGGGGAGGGCGGATCTGAGCCCTGGCCGATGGGTTTAAGGAAGCGGTAACATTCCACCAGGGTCCCACTGGAGGAGTGGCAGCCCCGTTCTCTCCATCTCCCAGTTGCCAAGGATGATGAAAGCGCAGACTTCCGCCTACAATGGGCTCCAGACCTCCTTCAGCGACGTTGCCGCCGGAATGCTCGGGGCGGACAGCCATCCGAGCGCCGAAGAAACGGGGGGATCGAGGCCGGCGGGGGTGGAAATGAGTTGGCTTGGTGGTAATGATGTCCACTCAGGCGATCAAACATAGAATAGCGTATTTCCAGGAGCGTATGGCGGTCATATATCAGAGTGGGAATAACAGTAGTAGCTTCAAACATGCAGAAACACAGTGCACACAGGAGAAGCCAGCGGCAGGCCCAACACAACGGCGCCATCTTGAAAGGACCTGGCTGATTTCAGCCACCCATTGTCTAATGAGTTTTTACTGCTACCATCTGGTCAAAGATATAAGGTGCCAATGTGCAGGACAAAAACACTTTAAAATTCTTTTTTCCCAAATGCTTTTTGGCTTTTTAAATACGTAAAGTGGTGGTTGTGGCTACACACTAGTGGTTTGTGGTTTTTTACATTGTTGATTATGGTGATTATGGTGTGATCACCACTGGCTGTACAACAAGTTGCCTCTCAGATATAACTAGAGAAATGCATTTTCTGAAGAAAATGAGTATGGATGCTGAGTGCTGAAAGATCGCCCTGAAAATGCTGAAGATTTTGACACCTGAAAAGTTTTTCTAGATAAAAGTATGCTGAAGTGCAAGATTTCAATTGTGAAAGATTTTCAGAATAAAGCTAAATATTTGAAAAGTATGAAGTTTAGAAAACGTCTGAAGACAAGCATGAATGTCCTTGACGAGCTGAACATTCAGATACGTAAAATAGTTGAAAGTATGCTGAATTAGTATTTTCTCATTCAGTTGAACGGGGCAAAATATTCATAATAAGGTTTAATATTTTTAAAAGTATGAAGTTTAGAAAAGCTCTGAATAGAAGCATGAATGTTCTGGAAGAGCTGAACATTTTGATACCTGAAATAGCTGAAAGTATGCTGAAGTGCAAGATTTCAATTGTGAAAGATTTTCAGAATAAAGCTAAATATTTGAAAAGTATGAAGTTTAGAAAAGCTCTGAATAGAAGCATGAATGTTCTGGAAGAGCTGAACATTTTGATACCTGAAATAGCTGAAAGTATGCTGAAGTGCAAGATTTCAATTGTGAAAGATTTTCAGAATAAAGCTAAATATTTGAAAAGTATGAAGTTTAGAAAAGCTCTGAATAGAAGCATGAATGTTCTGGAAGAGCTGAACATTTTGATACCTGAAATAGCTGAAAGTATGCTGAAGTGCAAGATTTCAATTGTGAAAGATTTTCAGAATAAAGCTAAATATTTGAAAAGTATGAAGTTTAGAAAAGCTCTGAATAGAAGCATGAATGTTCTGGAAGAGCTGAACATTTTGATACCTGAAATAGCTGAAAGTATGCTGAAGTGCAAGATTTCAATTGTGAAAGATTTTCAGAATAAAGCTAAATATTTGAAAAGTATGAAGTTTACAAAAATTCTGAAAGGATGCATGAATATCCTTGAAGAACTAAACATTTTGATACCTGAAATAGCTGAAAGTATGCTGAAGTAGAATTTTCCCATTCATTTGAGTGGAGCAAGAATTTCAAAATAAAGCTATATATTTCAAAAGTATGAAGTTTAGAAAAGCTCTGAATAGAAGCATGAATGTCCTTGAACAGCTGAACATTTTGCTACCTGATATAGCTGAAAGTATGCTGAAATAGAATTTTTTAAAATAAATGCTAAATGTTTTAGAAAGTGTGAAAGTTGTAAAAAAAAAAAGTTGAATACATGCCATAATATCCCGAAAAACCTGAACATTTTGATACCAGAATGGCTTTCCTAGCTGAAAGTATATTGAACTTATTAAGATGTGAACATTTTCTGACTGGTCCCCACAAAGTATGTAAAACAAGTAGAATTGTGTGTTCGGAGGGTGGGGGTGTAGGTGTTTGTGTGCCTGTGTGTATGTGTGTGTATGAGAAAGAAAGAGTATTCCTACACACTGTGAAATACTAGTTTGTGGCTATTGAAATGAGACATAAAATGTAAATGGTAATTACACCTAAATGGCTTGGCTAGCTGAAATTATGCTGAAGTAAAATTTTCCCATTCATTTGAATTGGGCAAAATTTTCAAAATAAAGCTACATATTTCAAAAGTATGAAGTTTAGAAAAATTCTGAAGAGAAGCATAAATTTCCTTGAACAGCTGAACATTTTGACACCCGAAATAGGTGAAGGTATGCTGAAGTAGAATTATCCCATTCCCTTGAATCAGGGAAAACTTTCAAAATAAAGCTAAATATTTCAAAGGTATGAAGTTTAGAAAAATTGAGTAGAAGCATCAATGTCCAAGAGGAGCTGAACATTTTGATACCTGAAATAGCTGAAAGTATGCTGAAGTAGGTTTTTCCTATTTGAATGGGGCAAGATTTTCAAAATAAAGCAAAATATTTCAAAAGTATGAAGTTTACAAAACCTCTGAATAGAAGCATGAATGTCCTTGAAGAGCTGGAATGTCCTTGAAGAGCTGAACATTTTGCTACCTGAAAGTATGCTGAAGTAGAATTTTCCAATTCATATGAATGGGGCAAGATTTTCTAAATAAAGCTAAATATTTTAAAAAGTATGAAAGTTGTAAAAAATTTGCCAATGTCCTTGTTTTATCTCTAAACCAGTATTAGTGTTTCTTTTTTTACACCATGCTTGAGACATGCCAACAGTGAAGTTTACCATGCATCGAATTTAAATTTTTTAAGATATTCAGCTTTTTTTAAATTCTAGAAGTCGATGGGAGCTCAAAGTGCTGAGTCATCCTAATACTGCAGCTCAATGACACAGTCTTGGAGTGCCATCTGGTGGTCAATAAAATGCAATGCAATTGAGACATATTTGTTTCTTCTGTCCGTTTTTTGGCATCTAACTCCCCCCACATTCTTTCACCTAGAAATACCATTCAGGTATCAATC